GAATCTGCACCACCTGCGCCTTGCTGATAATGTACTGGGGAGTGTTAGTGAGTTGTCCTTGGCCGGCTGGGAATGGGGAGCTATGTGGGAAAAGAGTAGTTAGCCGTTTCGGGTAAACAACTTTGCAGAGCTGGGAAAGAGCCTATGCGGCCAGGACATAGCAACCCCCCCTAGCAACCAATCGTGAGCTAAAGCTTTGCAATATGCATGAAGCTAATTAACGAATATATAAAAGGCAGCTTGGAAAGATTAATAAACGAGTCTTGTCGATGACCATATGGTGTCGCAGTCTCCCTTTCTCCAACATTCTTGGATGACTTTGTGTTCTGTCTAGAGGTATTTTAGATGTATTATCTGGACACAGAAATAAATACCACTAACTTGTGGGTAATTTGAAAATGTAGTGATTCTTCATTTTTTCAATGTATTAAAGTGTTATTTTATCAGCATCAGTTTGTGACGTCTTTATTCTTAAAAAATTATTCATCAGGCATCAAATGCATAAAATCAGAAGAATTTTTTACTTCCTAATTGTGATGTGTGCACCTCTTCATAGATCAATGTTTGGCATCTTGCTTATTCTCATACCTACAGTTCTCCAACTGTAAGATCTTAGCTCCAATGTCTATCTGAGAGAAAACATCCCTTCAAATATCAAACATTAAGTGCAAGTCCCTTTATTAAATTCTACTTTCTAGATACTCAAACTTTTCTGACATCATAAAACAAGGGGAAAAATGTTTTTTGTTTTCCATTTGCCATCTTTAAGTCTCAGAGTAACTTATTTTGTTGAGGTTATAAACAAAATGACAACAGTAAGGATTTTCTAATCCTTTTTACTAATGCCAAGCTTGGCAAACTTTAGCCATAGTAAATTATTTATCCATTCCTTTGCTCTGAAATGGAGTCCATTGATTATGCTGTTATGAAAGTCAAGGTAATGGTGCTACCATACTGGCCGAATACTTAAGCAATTGGTTCAGCCACCTTCTGAATGTAAAGTCTAAGAATAATGTCAATAATAAATACTTTTTGTCTAGTGTGTGAAGGCACAGCAAATTGGATCATGTTATGCTTGTCTGCTGCCTAATGCAATGTAACATAGCAGATAAAATAAATCAAATGAGTGACACTCTATTAGACTTCAGAGATGATAGCTCTTGTAAAGCAATTGATGTGATGTCAGTGCAGTAGATTTCTGATGTTTATTGAAATCTGAAATCTTTGAAACCCAAAAAAGGCATATTTGAAGGGCTATGAAACAAGTGACTGCAAATACAGCATTATGCTTATTACCGACAAAGCTGTTTTCTGAAACAGAATTCAACTAAATTTTGCTTTGTGTGTTTGATACATTTTTCATTTCTGCATGGATAGACACTGCCTTGAACTTCAAAGCGTAGAGTTAGATTATCATGGTAACTAGATTTAGAATCTTTAGTTGTTACTGGTACCTATTAAAGATAATTTTAAGCTTCTGTGAGTTGGGATTTAATACTGTGAAGTCAAAAGGTAACTGAAAATATAGTCATTAGGCCATTTTCAGAACTGTATTTAAAATTTCTGTTGTTGAGATCAATTACAAGGAATTTTTTTAATTTATTTTTCATTCTTGTGTTTGTTTCAAGTATTTGTTCAATTCGACTGCTTATATTAGCAATTCATTTTGTATGATCCATGAATTGAGACTTTAAAATGTTGAACCGCTAATCAAGTTTCAATAAATAAGCATGGAATTGCTATAAGGAGTGTATCTAATTAGGAGGCCTATGAAAACATGCCTATTCTCTTTACTTTAAAGCTATGCTCTTTTTTTTTGTTTCTGCCTTGGTTTTTTTGCTTTGCGATGAGAGACCTCTCAAATCTTGCTTAGTTTTCATAAGTGTAAATAATTTTTTATTCAAACTTTCTGTTAGTACTGTGAATTTAACATTTCAAGAAAAACAGGCAAAATTTGGTTTAATATTGGGGTATATTTATTTGTTTTTTCATATATTAAAAAAAAAGTTTATTTTTTTATTTATAGAAATAACATGTGACCTTCCCAAGTAAGTATTTTTTTCTGTTGAAAATATACATTTACCTGAAGTTTACAAATTAATTGTTAAATGAGTTAAAAATCAAATTAGAAGTTTTCTTCAAAATAAGTCCTTCAAAAATTTTATCATCTGGATCAGGTCTTCTTTTGTGCGCTTTCTTTAGCAGAACAGCAATCTGTGAAGAATAAACATGCAGTTATGAAGAGGATGTGCCCATGCTAGTTTCTAGATTTGTTCTCCATTTAGTTTTGATTGTATAGGTAGTTTTCAGTGTCTAAAAGGATAGTAATAAGGACATTTGTTTACTGTGGCTGCAATTTGTATGCTGTAAAATGTTTAGATTTCTTTTACTTTGAGCCTTTGTGAGTTCTGAAGAACTTTTAAGGTTTTATCACCTGTTTTACAGATTATTAAAATGCTTTTGCATTGCGTCTTCCTCAATTACTGGCATATATTCATACATTAAAATTAATGTTTCAATTAATATCTAGAGAAAAGGGTTAAGATTAAATATGTTTGCTTTTTGTTGTTGTTGTAGTTATGGCATAATAAAAACAATGACCCCAGACTAGAATAAAAATATAATTAACTTTTCTTCTCTGTTTAGCCCACCGTGTGTGAACGGGAGCTCTGTGTATTTGCTTTCCAAACACTAGGAGTGATGAACGAAGCTGCGGATGAAATTGCAACTGGGGCTCAGGTAGAATTATCCAATGCTCATTGCATGCCTGATTTTGTCTAAGTATGCTCAGTCATCTAAGTCTCTTCTAGAATTTATTCTGACTTATTTTCTCTGTATCAGCACTTTTTGGTGTTATCTATTTGTGAACTCTTATACGTATAGCTCTGACTACACTATTTAAGCATGATATTTTTGAAAGGTCCTAATGAGGTACTTCCCTTGTTTTCCTTCCATATAATTAGAGTAACTCTATTTTCTTGCTTAGTTGTATTCAATTAGGTCACCTGGGTTGTCGATAAAGGCAACCATTGTCCTTTAGAGATGATTCCCATTTATTTTCACCTAATGAGCCATCACTACTTTCATGCAATTAGTAAGCTACTTCCTGTTCTTGCTGTTGGGATACAGCTATCCACTGAGCATCTGCTATTTTGATTATTAAGTAACAGTGGCATGGTCCTTATTGATGTTGCTATATAAGCTTCTTCTCTCCTTTTAAGGATTAGGAATTTTTTAATATGAGCTTGCTTCCTGAGTTTGAATTCTGTTGTTTTAAACTATGCTTCCAAATTACCATTTAACTCTTGATTAAAATAGTTTCAGAGTTTCAGTAAATTCAAGGTACAATGGCCTTTAGAAATCATATGGATAAGTACGTTCCTCTTTGATTTCCTAAGTGTATGTTCCTCATTATGCATGTAGTATATAGTAAGCAATATGTTTTTCAAAAGAGCAGACATTCAGTTCATTTAACTGGTGAGTCTATCCATTGGAAATAAACTACTTAGCTAAGTGCCTGGATGTCAATGATGGGCACATCCACAAAGGAAAAAACTTTCAGCAGTGTTCACCATCTTCTTGATTTGAGAATATAACTGTGGAATTTGAGGTCTGCTATCAAGACAGTTGAATCACTATGAATTTGACTTGCAATATCTAGCATGCCAAGCTTTGGGATTCTTACAAAATTCTTATAGGACTGCAAGCCTATAAGAAACGTAGAGAGAAATGTGCACCATCTCTTCTCCAGGATGCATCCTCTAAAGCCCAAGTTATCTGTTGCTGTGGAGCTAGATCTTCACTTTCTAAATGTAGAAACTTAGGTCGTTTAAGTACAGAAAGTTCTCTCCCCCTCCTCTTTTTCTATGAAATTGAAACAAGAGATGGTCTTGATTAGGAATCACTCTGTGTTTTATGCAGACCTCATTACTGCAGGTGTGTGCACATAGCTAGCTTTTAGGAATGCTGTGTCGAGATGTGGCACCTCTGCATCTACAGACCCTTGCTGAACAGTGCAGAAATGATTACAGCCTTACTAGTGCTTAGAGTTAGAAAAGTTTTTGTTGTTTGAGCTATTGGACCAAGGTGACTAAATTTTGGTGAATTTCAATTCAGTGACAGCGTCTCACCCAGCTCACTACATCTGATCTGATTGAGTTTCCTTTCTTGTCTGCAGGAAGAATTCAACACATTCAGAGATTGATACATCTGAACTATTTTTGACTTAAATTTAGGATTATACGAATCACAATATAGCCTGTCAGCACAATGGTTATTTTCTCCATTGATTATAAAGAGAACCTACATAGACTAGAGAAGATGTAGGTGTTCACATTGTGAAAATCTGTATTTCACCAGAAGAATCTTCCCCCAAGGCTCCAAATCATTTTGTGAAGCTGAAGTTAAGAAGCCCAAATATAGGCTCCCACTATTGCAAATCATATCCTTTTCTTCTCTAGTGTGCTTTTCTTAAAGCTAGTTTCAGAAAGATAGCTTAAAAATTAGCTAAAACTAGTTAAAGATAGTTTTCTAAAGTATACATCTCTGTCACTCCCAGTATTCTGATGGCTCTTTATTTATAGTTAGAGATTGCCCTTTATAAAACTATTAAGTTTAAACTCACCTTGCCTTATCTCAATCACTTACCCAAAATGCCTGAAAGTGTCTGATTTATTGATAGTTCAGACTCTTCCTGGAGAAACTCTTAAGATAGGTAAGTACTACCTGAATGACTGATGTCGTTAGAGAGAATTGTTCTCAGAAAAATGTCCGTTTTCTTCCTTGTAAATATTTAAATTCCAATTTAGCTACTTAAATGCCCTCTGTTAGGTAGAAAAAGTTCAGGACAGCTAAAAGGTTATTTAATAGATCCATAGCCTTTCCTATTACCAAGGAAGGCAAAAAAAAGTTTATATTCTAATGTTTATATTACGCTCATTTCCCAGTTTTAAGCTGCTGTGTTCCATCAGCTCAAAACAATTATCACAGGGGAAATCAGAGGTTAATTAAGCCTAATATATTTATCTTTCCCCCATAAAAGAGCAATATAGTAGTATGATGATGAGAAACAATATAAAAATCAACATTCATTTTAAAGGGAGACTTTGGGATGATGTTCTTACAAGTACTGTGCCAAATTTAAGTCCCACCACACAAGTCACAAAGCAAGATAACTTTTGTTCACTGTGTTACAAGATCTAGGGACTCATACAAGACTACCATAATAGTGTTTTACAGCTGGAAGCTAGGAAGTACTTCTGAGAAGTAGGATATACGAACTCAGGCTTGCATTACTCATAATACATTTACATAGTGGCAGGCTTTGTGGCCTCACCTGGCTGTGGAAACAGACTCCTCGTCTCCCTTGCAAATGCTGGTGTAGATGCCCTATTTTGAAATGTTTGTCACACTTGTGGGTATGATAAACTGGAGAGAAATGAGAGCACTCTGGAGGAAGGGGCGATTACTCAAATAACTTCATTGTTCAATATATGTGAGATACTTAGTAACTGGAACTAGCGAATATTTTTAAACATGGAGAAAATTGTCCATTCATGCTAAAGAAGCAGAGGAAGAGAATGGTAACAGTATGACTCACTGCAGCACAGCTCCTTTTCACCTTCTTTACATGATTCTTATTTTCATTTTGCTTCTGTAAAGGACCTTCATTTATATTTCCTTCAAGTGATCAGATATAATAACAAGGATGTAATAAATTCTAGAAAGAGCTTGAGCTGTGAGTTGAGATCTAATCTGTCTGGGATTGTGGGAGGAACCAGAGCTGCCTAAAATCTATAGCTCATCTCAGCTTATTTTCCTTTCATGGAAAAGTCCATTTTTAAAGAGAAATATCTTAAGAGGAACAAAGAGAAATGAGCCAATTTGCAGCTACATTTTTTATGTAGCAACTTTGTATTTCATTGAGGTGGATTTTAGGTTTCATAGCTGTCAGAACACTGCTTTCTTTCTGTTTTATGATTGCTATAGTCTATTTTTAAGTTCTCACGATTTTTTGTGTATTTATACACCATGTGTTATCGTATTGTGTGTGCATCTACATGGAAATATGTGCTTCCATGCACAATCTTATGGTGGTATGTTGGAGGTGAACATACATTTTCAAAGCCATGTCAGTACAAAAGAAGGGAAGAGGATCTTTCAATGTTAGCCATGCAAATGACTGTTAAATCACTGCATGGTTCTGGCTCTTGCAGAAGCAATGTTTACTAGTGTTTCTGCAGTTATGATCTTCAGAAGAACAGTAGGCAGTGCTACTAACCTCATCCTTTCCTCCCTTTTCTCCTCTTTGTGAAACTTTCTTTGCTGGAGTCTACAGCTCAAAGACCCAACACAGAGCCATTTTATTAGAAGATGAATTTTCATCCAGGAATCCCACATAAACAAGAAAAAGCAGGACTGTAGGCAGTCTGTTTTACATGGGGAAAGATTTAGGACCAAATACAGGTCCCACCTAAGCATGTGGAATAAGCTTCAAGGTCAGACCCAAAGCCTGTTAAGATCAATTTCAGTCCTAAACTGTGAGTCATGAATAAATCAGTTTGGATAAAATAGGTAATAATGAAATACCATATTACTATAATGTATAAAATAAAAATCAGACTGCATGATACAATACAAAAGTACATACTGAATAAATCTTTTTCTCTATCTGCAGGTGGTTGATCTGCTAGTATCTATGTGTCGGTCTGCATTAGAGTCACCTAGGAAAGTTGTCATTTTTGAGCCATATCCTTCTGTAGTTGATCCTAATGATCCTCAGATGCTGGCCTTTAATCCCAGGGTGAGTAACTATATTTCAGTATGTCATGGCTTGATTTAAGTCACATGTTAAAATTTAAAGTAAAACCTTCTCTGCTTTGAGAAGTCTACAGTATTTTAAATTGTCTTTGAGAAGGTAAATAAACTGTAAGCTGTATTGAAATCAAGAGTTCCTTCTTTAGGAACAAATTCAAGGGTACAAATTCAAGATGAAAAAAAAATCTATTTTTAGTGTCCTTCTATGAGTATACACTTCAAACGCAAAGGAAAAGATGGCCTTTGGGAAGTGTAGATGATGTAGATCAGGGAGATTTCCAATCCATCTTTTATATTCTTAAACTATTTATTGCTGCCACTTCATTTTCAGTTTGGAAAAAATAATGTCCTAAAAACTTACTTTGTCAAATGCTGTTGTAGAAGCATCAGATTTTGAAGCAAAAAAGTGTGTTTGCAGTACTTGCTCCTTGGACTGCAAAGGCTGCTTCACAGGGAAGCCTTAGCTTAGCTGTGACCTATTATATCCCACCTGAGCCATTCTTAAGGGAGAGCTTTGGACCTCCTTCATTGGGATACATTCTGCCAGTTCGGAAAGAAAGCCAGCTTAGCGGTGGTGGTTCTTCAGAGGAATTGGCACGTGTATTCTGTAGAGCATGGGGAGATTTGTCAGGGAGGTGCTGGGAAAGATGTGCGCCAGGAGACAGCTACCTGTGACTAAGCGTAGATGTGAAGCCTGAGCCTGACATGAAACATGGGGCTTGTGAAACATTCAGCTCATCTGCTTGGAGAAAGTGGAGGCCTCCAGCAGCAGTTCCCAGGCAGGAGACAGACAGGAACTAGTGTAGGAGGGTGGCGATGGAGGCTGGCTCACAGGTGGATGTCCAGTCGTGCTCAGTGTGGCACCATGTTTGGAACAGCAAACTATGCTACTAGCAGTGCAGTGCACATATCCCTCTTGTTTTACAGAGCTGTTAGCAGAGTAAACACATCCGCTTATTTAGCATTTTATTTAACATCTATTTGATCACTGCATCATTTAACATAATAGCATATTATTTAAATAACTGGCACAGCTCGTGTTTGGCTGCAAATATTTGTTTAGAAAGTGAGCTAATTTCTGTAGTTGCACTTTGTTGCATGTTAGAGATTCCAGTGAAATTCAAACAAAAATAAACCCAATTCTTTTACTTTCCTGGAATTATCCTGGACTATGAATGAGAGTCTGTGTGTAAGCTAAGAAAGATTTGAAGGATGGTTTTCTGAACATTCATTCTAAATGTGGTTATATACACACTCAAAGGAGGTGTTCGTATTGTCAAAGACCCAGAATATGCTTTTAATTTATTTGCTTATTTTATATTAGAAGAAGAATTATGACCGAGTCATGAAAGCGCTGGATAGTATCACTTCTATTAGAGAGATGACACAGGTGAGCATAAAAATTTTATATAATTTAATAGCCATTTCTAAAACTAGGTAGGTGTTTGCATTGTTGCCTGTGGGGAAGATGGGAATGCAATTGTATCATCTCTTTCTGATGCTGCTGTAAGGATATTAAGATCTGTGTTAAAAATAATAATAATTAAAAAATGCAGTAGCATAACAGCAATGAAGTAAAAGTGATGAAATAGAACTCAGGTCTTTGGGTGCTTAAATGAAGAGATAATACTAGCAGAATCAAACATTGCAACGAAATAATGACCAACTGCTACATTTCTGAAAATATCGATGCCACACTGAGTCTTTTATTTCCAAAGCAAAATAAATTGATTTTACATCAGTGTTCTGAGGTGATAATTTTCTTCTATTATAATGAGACACTTGTTCATTAAAGTATGCTGGGAGGCTTGGAGAGCCAGACCTCTTAGGATTGCTACCGTATGATCTTCCAGAATTGACAGTGGGACAGAATCTAATAGCCGTGCTTGGTTTATGTGATACTTTGATTCCCAGACAGCCCACCTGATTATAACTGACTACCTCTGACTCAGTATGAGCCATGATACATCCATCCTATGTAGCTTGATTTTCCAGCTGCTACATAGACAAGAATTTAAAACCTTATTTTGTCTGTATTTCTAATACTTTGGGATTCTGAGGTGTTTAGAGAGCATGAATATAAGCTGAAAACAAAAAATTGGGTGTTGTTACTTAATATAACATCTTTTAATAGTAAAGATGTGGATATGTTTCTTATATAATATTTTTAAAGATAAAAGTAGCCACCATTTTACCTTATTTTTAACATTAAAAAAATTACTGAAGAATTTCAGAGAGACACTTTTCAAAGGCTATATCAGCTGATTCTGTATTTTACCAGCTTATACCATGGAACAGTTAAAAACATTGGAGCGAATTAACCTGAGGTATTTTGAGACAATTTTCTGAAGTTCCAGTCCAATTAATGCACAAACCAAGCATAAGTAGATATCTTCTGCTATTCTCACTGAGATCAACAATGCTGGCTGTAGCATACTCATTTTTATGCTAATTATATGCTTATTATTTTACTCTAGGGAAAATAATTGCTATATTAATTCTTGTTGTTGTCAAAACACGTTTATAACTGTACAAGGCTAAATGTCAGTAAATCCGTGATTTAAGCCTAATAATGAGTCCTATGTATTAATTTTAATAAATGAAGTCATGCGCATTGTAACATATAAAATGTAACCTTTTTATTTCAGCTAGCAATAAAGAGCATAATTACTGTTTTCTAGGCACCTTACTTGGAAATAAAGAAGCAGATGGATAAACAGGACCCTCTTGCACATCCTCTTCTACAATGGTATAAAATTGACTCACATGAAATGATAATTATTAAAGTACCAAGTTGAATGAGTAATTACTTTCCCAGTTTGGTTTAAGCTCACCCTAAGAATTGCTATCAGGGCTGACATTTGCAAGTGTAATTGTTTGTGGACTGTTTCTGAACCTCATCTGTGTCCTCTGAAGACAGTGGAAAGACTCCAGCTGATTTGTATGGCCTCAGATCAGATTTTCTAGTCAAGCTTTGGTCTGCTTTCATCAGATAAGTTCAAATGCCTGCAGCTGTGTACTTTGTGATGGGATTCATCAGCATTTTTAAGAAGAAAGTTCTGATTTCCTATCATATCTAATGCATCTAACTATTTCCTATTTTAGGGTTATTTCTAGTAATAGATCACATATTGTGAAGCTACCAGTGAATAGGGTAAGTGTCTGTGGGTTCCTTCTGCTTTTCTTTCTTATTTTAACATTTTTATGACTTATTTTAGAATTTTAGGTGTGATTCACAGGGCCAAATGTAGGTGTCTACATTCAAACTAGTCATCTGTGTTCCATTAACAGACAGTGGAAAGAAATAGGCAGTTCTAGGTCATGAGTCATAGAATCACGCTGTGAATATCGAAAATAGGTCAAAGGAATCGTGCTCTGAAAGAGCCTGTTTAAGGTGAGTAGCTCAAGTGCAGGTTCTGCCTTGTAGACATCTGAGACTGGTGAGAACCTCACTTTTTTTTTCTATTACCATATATAATATTAGATACAGGGTTGTATTGAAAGCAACGTACATACTAACATGAAGTGTGCCTAAAAACTGACACGTGAGCGTGCTGCAAAAATGATCACAGCTCTAGAATTTTAGCAGGATGGTGCTGAGATTCTTTTCTGGTTGTGTTCTTCTGATCCTTTCAGAAAGGGGTAGTAATATGCAGCCTTTTAAATCTAAGCTTTAAGTCGGAGCTCTCTCTGATCAAAATGCCATGATAAAATTGTTCAAATTAATTACTTTATTAAAGTCTTATTAGGCTGAAATCTGTTTCAAAAACTTTCATTTGTTCATAAGCCCTAGAATGTTTTCACTGTTTGATTTGAAATGAAGCTATGGTAAGGAGACTGATTTCAGCTTAGTTCACATAGGTGTTTAGATGCATATTGTGTGAAACAGCATGATATCTAAAGAACTGCCATTCTGAAATAGTGTTTTTGTGTAATCAGCTTCTTTTCATTCATGCCCTGTTATATTTTACAGCAACTAAAGTTTATGCACACTCCCCACCAGTTCCTTCTTCTCAGTAGTCCACCAGCCAAAGAATCCAATTTCCGAGCTGCTAAAAATCTTTATGGAAGTACCTTTGCATTTCAGTGAGTACCTATATTAATCAAAGATTTCCAAAATGCCAAAGTTAATTTTTCCTTGCCATTTTGCAGTTTACAGCTGTGAACTAATTGTTTTAGAGGACTGCTGATTTCATTTTGATTTTACACTGTGGATTTTAACCCTTTCATTTTATTTTTTTCCAGTGGTTCACACATTGAAAATTGGCATTCCATCCTGAGGAACGGCTTAGTTGTTGCTTCCAATACGAGGCTGCAGGTAAATATGGACTTCAGCATGTATGTTTGACCACGTATTAAACTCAGACAAGTTTTCAAGAGGTGTGCTGTCGATACATGTTGATGGTGACTGAAAACACCCTCATGGTTCACTGAAAAAGATACTTTTCTGAAGCAATTAAAATAAAGCAATGTGTTTGCTAATCAGTGGCTAAAATCCCTTTTGTCTTTAGTGTAAGTGCAGTTTCAGTTTTGCATTGCACAGCAGTACCTCCAGGAGGATTCGCTCGATATTGCTTAAAAGCAGTCTCCAGGATTAAAACTAAGATCCACATAAGCTATATCTGTATTGCAGGATCCTGGAGGACCCTAGGTTTACAGAAGCTGGGTGTAGAGCATCTCATCTCCTGTTTTCCTTTGCAAAGGAATATGAGTGCTGGCCGGGGGAGCTATTGCAAACCTCACTTTGGTTCCCCAGGTTGAACTATCAGAGCAGTCCTGCACAGCAAAACAGACAGAGCCAGAGGGACTAGCAATCTCAGAGTGTTTTAGCATCAGTGTCAGCTGTTCCCTAGAGCAGAATCCATGACCTCGATTACATGCCTTACAGGGGGATCTGAGTATCTGGAATAGGGAACTAAGGTAGAACAGGAAACCCTTAGAACTAGGAATGGAAATGTATACTGTTCCTTTTAGTGGTATGGGTGCTTTTATTAGCATCCTTGTAAGGTGCTTCCCCATGGAAACAACATTTATACAACAAAATTCACCAAAGCAAGCACCTTTCTTTGTATTATTTTTCCCATTTTTTAAAATGTTCCCCCCCCCCAATTTTGCACAAGTCATCATAAGTAGATCTCTCTCACAGCAATGTCATATCCTGAGCCCAGTATGTTCTAGCTACCCCACCACCAGCTACCCAGGAAAAACAACCGGTGGTTGAAGCCCAGTGGTTATTACATCTGCCTGGCTGGGAGAAAACCTGGATTCTCATTTGTGCTACTTCATACATTTTCTTTAAGGGCCCTTTCACATATATCAATCAGTCCCTGGAGAGGAAGCAGCATGATCTTCTTAAGAGTTTTTTTTTTTTGAACAGTATTTATTATCAGGTAATAAATTAGTGTGCTGAGGTGATGCTTGTCTACATTAGGACTTGTGCCTTGCGTTATTGTCAAGATAATCAAATTATGGATAAGCAATCACTCTGCTCTTTTTCAGCTCCATGGTGCAATGTTTGGAAGTGGAATCTACCTTAGTCCATTGTCAAGCATATCATTTGGTTACTCAGGTGATATTTATAAGTCACTCTAAATTTGGAGAAATATAGGGGGGTATCTTAGCTTACTGCCTTTTTTTTGACTGCTTGGATGTTTACAACACTGTAATCAATTTGTAGGCCAAGATTTCGTTAATTAAAAAAAGAAAGATGAAATCTAATTTCCCTTGTTAAATACCTTGAAACTGTAATTCAAGTGGACGTGGACATGGACGTGGACAGCAGCCACCACTGGATGCTCTGTGAAAAAGAGGATTCTTGACTCTATGTTGGGAACCTGACTATGTATTTGGGATTTTTTGTCAGTATTTGCTTAAATCAGTTTAATAGTAGCAATGGATTCATAGACTTTGAGACCTGAGCTGACAAAACGCTAATTTTGGTAATGAGAGTGGTTGCACTGAAATCAATAGAAACATTACAGTATTTATATATAAGAATATTCCCAAGTGCATCACCAGATCAAATTTATGTAGGAAGTACAGGGTAGTATGTTTATTTTAGTATGAGGAGGGGAGGGAACATAATTCGCCCCATTAGTAAATCCAAAGTGAGTCATGCAGTGTTTTCCATATAAAAGCTAAATTGTCGATAGAAGCACAAATAGAAACACAATAAAGCAATGTCTATATTAAGAACTTTTTATGGAAATTTTAAAATACTGTTACTTTTCCCATTAATCATGTTTATTTACCATGTCATCAGAAATGTAAGTGTTGGCATAATTGTGTGTGCATGTAGATACATTTTATTATAAGAGAATTACACCTTCTGGTTTTCAGTATTTTTAGATAATGTCACAATCCATTTTAAAGCCCAGCATTTTCTACTACTATTTAATTTATTGACTTACAATATCAATCATCTCTAAATGTGCTTTTAGCTTTCCAGGAAATACATGAGAATTACAGAAACTTTCAGGCTGCACTGAAAGGGCAGACTGCAGCATCGCTTATCTGGCTACATAGTCTTGTGCTTTGTCAGCTTCACAGTGTTTTTCTCATCTCTCTCCCTTTCTCTGTCCCTTCCATGAAGTCTCCTCCATAAAGAAGCCTGTACTCCTACAGGGAATATAATAGTTTCTACAGATAAAAAGCAGGGCGGAGTCCTACAGTTCTGTTTCCCCATAAATCAGCCTGAGTTTGCAAACTGCCAAGAAATACCAGATACTGGGAAAAAATATGAGGCCTGTAGTAGCATGCAAGAAGGGAATTTTATACAAAGCAACATGAATAATGTAAGAGAGATCTAAGAAAAACACATAGGTTTTTAAATGGATGGATGCATCCAAGCTGGCCAACAAATAATTTTACTTTAAATAACATTAATTAAAACTAGGCAGAATTAAAGCTACTTTTAAATAAATTAATTGTTCTTAAAATAGTATTATAGCAATTAAAAAGTCTAAATAAAGTGTTAAAGAGGAATATCTAAAATCCTGTCTCTCAAGATTTTACAAGCCCTCCCAGAGTAAATCAGAGCATATGCTGCTTTAGCCTGATTAGGGTCAGTTAAACTCAGACAGACTGATGTGAAACTTTGTTAAGCAACCACCCAAGAACATTCCTGAGCTGAATTCAGTGGAATTTAAGATCATGTTTAACTGCTTTGGCACCTACTTAATACTAACTAGGCTTTCCTAGGGTCCTTGCAACACATGTAGATGTACAGACAACTCGCAGGATTAAAACTGAATTATTCTAAGTTAATTAAGTTCTGTGGCACTATGCAAAGGATAATGATCCACCCCATATTAGCTGCTTCATTATCGATATTTAACTTTGCTTATTAGGGTATTTATATGTCAGTATCTGATAAAATTTTAATATTCTTAGGGATAAACAAGAAGCAGCAGAAGGTGTCAGCTAAGGATGAACCTGCTTCAAGCAGCAAGGGCAGTAATACATCACAGGTACAGTCCAGGAGAGTATCAAATCTCCCTGCATATGTACCCTGCTTGCTTGTTTGGGAACCTGATAACTGACAAGGAGGAAATATTCCTTTTGTGTAAGCTAACAGGTTTGGTTTGATTATTTGTTTGTATTTGTTTGCTTTTTATTATATGAAATCAATAACTCCAGAGACACTGTGACCATCAAATATGGCTTAGGTGCTTTTAGTGACAATTTGCAGGGTTTACTACAGGTTCCTGTAACCTTCCTTTCTAGGCAGAAATATCTGGAAAGGGAATGGAACCAAATGACAGATTTTATATTTATTTCATTATGACCCTGTTCCAAATGGGCTTGGGATTCAGCAATAATCACACCAGAACGAGGTGACTACATCAAGCATTTATTCAGGTGAAAGCACATAAAAGCAGCAAAGTATGGATAACTACTCACAAGGTGAT